TGACTCTGTCTCTCTCTCTTTCTCTCTCTGCTGCTGCTGAGGCTGCAGGCAGTCACTTACGTACACTAAGCATGTATGTTCTTACTGCTGCGCTATATCCCTAGTCCCACAATATTTTCTTAAAATAACATACACTTGTCTTATTTATTGTAGCAAATATACTACTCTTCTCACGGATAGTGAAAACAGGCTATTGCTCTTTCCATCCATGTAAGTATGGTTTATTTATATAGTGCTTCTTAGAAAGAATGATTATGTATTCTTTATGTTAATATTTTATTAAATATCAAAATTATAGCAAGAACCCCAAACAATAATTTTCTACAGTTCTGTTATCTAATTTGTGGAATATGTCCAGTTGCATATTCAAATCTACATAACTATAAATAGTATTTAAGTACTCTGAAGCACTTTTATATTCTACATTTAACAGTTAGTTATTTCTCCATTTTGGTGCAGTCTTCTTCCCTTTGTCTTTTCTCTTCTCTCACATTGGGTGTTTGTCTCGCTACATTTTTTATATGTGCCCACCATCTTCTATGGAATCTTTGGAGGAGAGAATTATTTTCTTTTAAGAAAAAGGGGGGTTATACTATTTACATGTTTTCTTGATTTTTTCACTCTATTACTAACATCCCACTAGATCAATAGATACAGGTCTAATGCTTTAAAACATTAGTTACTATTCCATAATTATACATTTTATTTATACATTTTATATTCTGTTTGTCATTTGAGCAGGAGCTGTTGAAATGTTATTTACATGTTGGCCACATTAATCTTTTAGGAAACCCAACAGAAGAGTGGAAGTGGCCCAGCTGAACGAAGTGATGGATACTATGCTAGAGAGGGCCGGGGTAGAGAATCAGGAATATGTAGGACCAACCAAGGTAAATGCAAGGATCAGTGTAACCCAGCGTTCAGCAGCGTGGACTCTGGAGGCAGAACGCCTGGCTGCGTTCTGAGAATAATAATAAATAGAAAGTGCCTAGAAAATGCCCGACATGCGATAGAATTATATAACTAATTACTAGTGTGCTCATCCACGGTCTAATAATAGGGATGAGTCCTGAGAAATGCAGCAGTAGCTGCATTCTGTCATCGCGACGATTCTGTCATTGTGAGGATGTGATTACACAAACCCACGTGGTGTAGCTTGCTGCACACGTAGGCTGTGTGCTATAGCCTATGACTAGAAGTTAACTATGCTGACTGCCATAGACACTCGTCATACAATGGTAAGTATTTGTGTATCATCTTATGGGACTATTGTTGTCTATGTGGTCTGTTGTTTACTGAAATGTCATTATGCAGCACATAGCTGTTTCGTTACTGTGTCATTGAACATAGGCACCACTGGTTGTAAGACGCCTATTATGTATTTATTTTTAATTGCTATAGAATAATTGTACAGCCGGTGATATGGCTCAGTGGCACAAGCGCCTGCCTGGCAAGTGCAAGGTCCTGAGTTCGATTAAAAAAAAAATCATACATATTTATGAGACAAGTAGGACATTTTAATATATGTAAAAAAAACTTGTAATGATCATACCAGGGTAACTGGCATAAACAGCATTTCTAAAGTTTATAATTTCTTTATATTGTGAATATTTAAAATCCTCTTTGTTGGCTATTTTGAAATATACGATTAGTTGTCAGTTATACTTAAGATACTGTGCTGTAGAACATTAGAAGTTATTTCTTCTGTCCAGTTGCATCGCACCACCATTAACCATCCTCTCTCCATCCTCTCTTCCATCCCCTTCCCAGCCCCTGGTAACCGTTATTCTCCTTTCTACTTCCATGAGGTCCATGTTTTTAGCTTCCATGTATAAGTGAGAACGTACAATATTTGCCTTGCTGTGTTTGACTTATTTCACTTAACACAGTGTTCTCCAGGGTTGTTCACGCTGCTGTAAATGACAGGATAGCATGCCTTTTTATGGCCAAATGGTATTCCTTTACATATGTGCATCACATTTCCTCCATCCGTTCTTCACTTCATGGACATTTCCATTTTTTTGCTATTATGAATAGTAGCGCAATAAATACGGAAGTGCAGCTGTCTCCTTGACACAGTAATTTTCTTTCTTTTGGATGTATTTGTAAGTAGAGGGATGGCTGGATCATATGGTAGCTGTATTTCTAGTGTTTTGAAGAGCCCAGTCCTGCTTTCCGTAGTGGCTGTACTAATTCACACTCCCTCTAAAAGCATATGAGTTTCCCTTTCAGTGCCCCCTTACCAGCATCTGTTATTTCCTTTAAGGCCGCATCACTTTATGTACTACTGAAAAGCTCTGCCAATTAAACCACGCTTTCTTACCACTTGTAGCTTATTTTGTAATTAATGAAAAGCTCTTCCAACTTTACATACAGATTTTTTTCTTTCTTAGGGCTATTTATTTTTTGTCTTATATATTTTTACTTGTATAGAATTTAAACCTTACAAGAAATTTTAGTACAGGTATTCTGATGGAGACTTTACCCATTGCCCCAGTCTGTCTTCTGTTGCCATAACAGAGTACCATGAAGTGTGAAATTCATCAACAATAGGAGTTTATCTGAGGTACGGTTCTGGAGGCTGGCAGGTCCAAAGGCGTGGCAGAGCGTCTGGCAAGGATCTTCATGCTACACTGTCCCATGGTGGAAGGTGGAAGGGCAAGTGGTCTCATAGGATAGGGAGAAGAAATTGGCCCAAAGTAATCAGGAGGATATTTCTGTGATGATGATAGCATTAATCCACTTATGACACCAGAACCCTCCTGTTGTATCACCTCTTAAAAATCCCACTCTTTGTTTTGTTTTTGTTTTTGAGACAAGGTCTTGCTATGCAGTTCAGGCTGCCTTGAATTCATTAGGTAGCTGAGGCTGGACTCAAATTCACAGTGATCCTCCTGCTTCAGCCTCCTGAATGCTAGGATTACAGGCATGCACCACCATGCCTGGCTTGACCTTGGTCATTTTGAACAGCACAGGCCAGTTATTCTGTAGGATATTCCTAGTTTTGGCTTGTCTGATGTGTACTCATGATTATAATCAGCTTTTTACAATTTTTGGCAGGCATAGCATAGAAGTGATACTGTTATCACCTCAGTGCTCCATATAAAAATGTGCACAATTAAACAGATTTTAAAAAATCTTATATTATTTATTATATATATATGAAAATGCAATGAAATAAATTAATCCTGTTACTAAAATTTGATAATACTTACTATAAGTACTGATTATTTTACTTGTCTCCTGCCAGATGCACCAGCTACTGCATATGTTAAAGAAGGAGCAGACCATCTACAACACAGTATTTCATGAACTTATTCGACAAGTCAGTGTGGACTGTGCAGATAGAGGACAGCTCCTGTCCAAAATCAGGTTAAAGCTATTGTTAGAGTCTTCTAGTTTCCCTTTTTTTTTCGTAGTACTAAGCACTGAACCCTGGAATTAAAGATGGGTGCCACCATTTGAGGTTCTTTTTAATTTTTTTATTTTGAGACAGGGTCTCCCTAAGTTACCCATACTGGGCTCAAGCTTGCAATCCTCCTGCCTCAGCCTCTTGAGCTGCTCAGATTACAGGCATGTGCCACTGTGGCTGGTTTAGTTTTCTTTTGACTTTTATATTAGAATTGTATTTATATTTACTTTTGAGAAAGCTAAAAAGTACACTTGTCTATCTTACTGATAATAAGGAACCTAGTTATGTTTTATTATATTCTTTATATCAAACATAAAAATACTTTTTGAAAAAACT